TGATGCTTAAATTGCTACACCAATAAACAGGGATGTAATGCATCTAGGGACACCTTTGGTCTGATTGCTTTTGTGCTTCATGGAGCTGCACAGAAAGTAAGCATCTCAGTTAATTTATCGGGAACCATGCCGCGTGTGTTTGGGGACAGCCCAAGAGTGGAGCTGTGGCTGCAGCCCCAGAAGGTGCTGCACAGGCACTAGAGTTCATGTGCCATAACCTAGACCTCAGCTCTGTTTGTTAGGAAGATTCCAGAAGTAAATTACAGCAACACATATGGTTTATTAATTTAAAAACTTAAGTTTTCTATACGAAGACTGCATCTTGTCTGCTTTGTGATAACTTGTGCTTTAAGTCTACAATATGGAAGTAATTAACTGTTAAATGCAGCACTTACTTAAAGGAATGCGGTATAACCGTCTAGGCTAAATGTATATGTCAGACGTTGAGGGTCTAAAGCTGGTGCTGCAGCACACAGTATCTCTGAGCATGACAGTTTGAGTGTACGAATCCATCATTATTTGTAACCAGTTGGCTCCTACTTTTTAGTTTCAAACTGATCTTAGAATTTCTAAGTCTTCTCTTCTCCACGCTGCTCCAGGCTGAACAGCCCCAACTTTCTCGGCCTGTCTTCATAAGAGAGGTGCTCCAGCCCTCTCATCATCCTCGTGGCCCTCCTCTGGATTTGCTCCAACAGCTCCATGTCCTTTTTATGTTGAGGACACCAGAACTGGACACAATACTCCAAGTGAGGTCTCACAAGAGCAGAGTAGAGGGGCAGGGTCACCTCCTTTGACCTGCTGGTCACACTTCTTTGGATGCAGCCCAGGATACGGTTGGCTTTCTGGGCTGCAAGCGCACACTGAAGCCAGCTCATGTCAAGCTTCTCATCAACCAACACCCCCAAGTCCTTCTCCGCAGGGCTGCTCTGAATCTCTTCTCTGCCCAGCCTGTAGCTGTGCCTGGGGTTGTGGTGGCCTGGGTGTAGGACCTTGCACTTGGCTTGGTTAAACTTCATGAGGTTGGCATCAGCCCACCTCACAAGCGTGTCAACGTCCCTCTGATGAGACTATGCCAATACTTTTGTACTTACTCTGGAGTACAGTTCCAGAAGACTGTTCTGCAGTATCTCTCTTAAAAAAAGACATCAGCTAGTAGAACACGTATTCATGGCTCCTAGCTTTAGTTTCTAGCTCTCTTAAAACTATCTCATATCCGTGGAAGCAGAGGGGAAGTATGGGGGAGCTAGCAGCACCATGTAACGGATAAGAATCTGATGTTTCCTGACCACAAGTCGAGAACCATGAATTTATGTTAAAAAGTTTTAAATTAAATGTTGGGGTTTTTTTTTAAAGTAAGTTTAATTAGTTGCTAAAGTAGTGTGAATTTCCTCTTATTTTTAGGTAACTTATGAAGCTATTAAGATACCCAAGTGGTCTTCTCTTTCAGACATGCATTCAGTAGACTATTACTCATCTTACACCAAGAATTGCACAGGAGAGTTTACAAAGCAAGAAGTGAGAAATATTAGAGCATTTTATTATGCTATGTGTGCAGAGGCAGATGCCATGCTTGGTAGGTAATGTTTCATTCTACAGTGAGTTTCTTGTTCTGATTTTTGTAAGAAAATGCTCATAGAGCTGGTCTTCTGGAAACAAACAAACCAACCAAAACACAGTTCAGATCTGGGAGTAAGCCACATGGATGCTGCTTAATCAGTCTATATGTTAAATAACTGGATAGTTTTGAAGGCTATTGCAAGGTGAATTCAGAGCGCTGTGAAAAGTAATCACAACCACCAGTCAGAGACCCTGTAAAAGCCCAGTAACTGCAGCAAAACATTGCCTGACCAGTGTACAAGAGGAACTAAATACTCTTTGATTAAGCGCTAACTGAAATAATGCAAACAACTGTGAATGGGGACAGACTAGCAAAGCAGAGCTGAAAGGAAAGGTAAATTTTATGGCACAAGCAATTTCCTTGGAGGTTGATTTCAAAGGATAGACTGGATGACAGCTATTACGCATAGTAAACTTCTCATGTTTCCCTTAGCAGCATATTATTGAAAGTTAAGGAGAAAAGAAAGAATTAATTAGGCATTCACAATTCTTTCTAGTTGCAGTAGTGCCTACATACATAAAAATTACAATGCAGATTGGTCTTTATTTACTGTTACAGCTGAACCCAGGACAAATACTTTATTTCTAAATTTGAAAAGTGACCATGAAAGAACAAGAATTTCCTTGTATTGTAATATAAAATTAATGAATAAGTAAGCTGATCTTTTTAGCAATGTTAGAATGATCAGGTAGTCTAAAAGACACGGAATTACTCTTCCACATTTTAAAGAAAAGAACAAAAAAAGAGACATTGATGGGATCCTGACGGCATTTCTGGGATGAAGGTATTGCAAAGTAACAGCGCTGGGGTTTAATTTGGTAACATATTTTAAGTTTTTAATTAGTCTGTTTATGCAAGGATCGTCTTTAATGTTAAGATGTGTAAGCAATTACAGACTTCATTGACCCTGTCTTCATTGGACAAATGTATGTGCAAGGAGCTCCTGAGGGGATGTAGGCACAGGAAGGAGAAACTTCCATTGATTCTGTGTAAAGCGGATGCTGTCAAGAGTCCTTCACCCTAACTGCAGTGTCACAGCTTCTGCTTGCCTGTTTATTCTACTGCTGTTGAAATAATTAGTATTAGTTACACTAGAAATTAAACAAAAGTGGTGATAGCAAAAATGTAGCTTGTCCTGTGGTGCAGCCTTAACTTTTGACATTTTTATGGTTGTTCAGCGCCCTCCACACTTTGTTGATAAACTGCATCTCACTGATGACTCTTGTTCTGGGGTGAATGCTTTGGGCTCTGCCTTCTGTGGCGGAGAGGAGTTTCCAACCCTCTGTCTAGGATTCCTCAGGGTTTTTCATGGCACTTTGCAGGTACAGAAGTTGGAAAGAATGTTTTGAACATAGCCTTTCAGTATCTTTTTCTTGTTGCAGGTGAGGTTATTTCAGCTCTGAGAGATACTGGGCTTCTTAAAAAAACAATCGTTATATTCACTGCAGATCACGGAGAACTTGCTATGGAACACCGGCAGTTCTATAAAATGAGCATGTATGAAGGAAGTTCCCATGTTCCTCTTTTAGTTATGGGGCCAGGCATAAAAAACCAGCAGCAAATATCAAATGTAGTATCTCTCGTGGATATATATCCTACTATGCTTGGTAAGTTAAGTCATTTAAAATTATTTTTTTCCCCCAATTATGTTATAGTCAGACTTACATCTCCACTTCATGAGGCAATGTAGTAACACAATGGGAGATAACAGTTTATTGGTGGAGCATACATATGGACTTAAATTAAAATGCAAAAAATTGATGTGAAAATTAAAGGAGCTCATGATTCTCTTTATTACTGTTACTTTCATCAATACAATTATAGTGAATGATTATAAGAGTATCTTAAAACAAAGGAAAACTGATAAAAAAGTCAGATGCAGTTTAGATATGAATAATTATTGATAGCCTTCATACATAAGAGTTTACTATAGAAATTACAATGTAAATGCATCCAGAGATGAGATTAAACCTGAAAAGATAGCAGGTTCTTTAGGAATGTCTTTTATAAAGGGTCACATGAAAGAAATGTTATAAAGACTTTGTATAGAAAATGTACAATTGATCTTGTCAAGCATAATATAATATGATGATGGATAATCATTCTTTTTACATGTGGATATTCTTTGTAGGGCAGAGAATCAAATAAAAAGGACTGACAGCAAATTGCTTACACACAGATGGCAATTATTTTTTAGAGTGAATTTTTGAACAGTTACCTGTAGTAAATCATGCAAGAGATTAATCACATTGGAACTAAACATGAGGTGAAATCACCATTTGATGCTTTATCTGGGACTTTTTAGGCTACCAATCAGAAAAGTGGTGTTTCCAAGGCATTCTGCAAAGCTTGCTCTTTAAGAAGTGTCACTGTACACTGCAGTTCCCTGAGAGAACATGGGCAGTAGGTAAAACTGTACTTAGAGTGGTAAAAGACCATGCAAAATCCTTTTCTATATTGTCTTCATTTGATTTCCTAAGAACAGAAGAAAACATCTGTATCTGCCTGTCTCTTCTCAAAACTTCTGATCTAGTTCTGCAGATGAAAATAGGCTATAATCTGAATAGCTTTCTTTTCCAAATTCTGATATAAAATCTTTTATATATATAATCTGCATTAGATATGGTACTTATGTAAGTATCATGCGTAAAAATTTAAAAATCTCTTTTTTTTTTTTTTTCCCCCTTCTTTGTGCCTCTCCTCAAATAACATAATTGGTCAGGTGGTTTCATTTCTTTCTTCCTTTAGTTCCTTTCTCCATTCCTCCCTTGTTGTATAGAACTTACATGCAATGAATATCACCACTTGGCATAGAAGAGGAGATGAAATACTACCATGGTGCTCTGTGAAATGGAAAGTGATGAATTTTTAATGACTATACACTATGTTCAGTTGGGTGATTAAAAATAACAGTTCTGTCATGCTCCATTTAGGACACACTAAAGTTTAGGTAACATATTTGGGATTCTTGACTTTTTCAGGATGTTTTTCGGGATGCGTCTGAGAGATCTGTGCAGGCTTTTAATATTGACCTAGTCTTTGGGAGTTAGAGACACTTGTGAGTTGATACAGAGGAGCTTATTCAAGTTACAACATCTTCTAGGGGTCATTCAGCAGGGCGTAGAGTCATTCATTGATTTCCATATGCACACTGTATGGATTCGACCTCTGACACCATCTTTATCTCCAGCTGTACAAGTGAAGCAAATGGTCCCTGGTCCTCAGTTTCCCCACCAGTTAAAGTTGATAACCGTAATGGCCACCATTTCTAAAGTGTTCTGTTACTCACTGATGAAGAATGCTGGATAGGAGAGTAGCACTGTTATTAGCACAGAAATGAAGGGTTAGACTATTTTGGATATGGAGCTTTTGGGGTCAATTCATGCTATGACAATCTCTTTCTCCTGCCTGACTTGGTCAGAGCAGAAGGGAAGGGTATAAAACCGTGATTAGAAAAAAGTAAAAAAGCACTACGCATCAATGGAGGCTATTCCAGTTGTTTTTAACAAGCCTCTGTTAAAGATGGACTCAGACATAGCAGATACTACTTTTGATCAAGATATTGGGCATCTGACCTTGGAAAATTCCTTAAGGTTTTTCTTTTTTATATTATTATTTGTGTATTTGGGGGTTCGTGTGTTCTACTAAGAGAATAATTAGGAATGCGTGTTTTATTACTGAAATAGAATTTCTTTAGACACATGTAGAATTACGTTAGGCTTTTTCAATCACTGTAACTGGAGTAGCATTTTGACTTTGTTTATCTTTGCTTAGATATAGCAAGAATTCCTGTCCCACAGAACCTCAGTGGATATTCTCTTATACCACTGCTATGTGGGAAGGCTGAGAACGGAGTGTCACCCAAAGGGCATCGGCCCTCTTGGGTGTTGAGTGAGTTCCATGGATGCAATGTAAATTCTTCCATGTACATGCTTCGAACTGGCAAATGGAAATATATCACGTACTCAGATGGCCATTCAGTACTTCCACAGCTGTTTGGTATGTTACTGCTTTTATGTCCTGACCAACTCTTTAATTTACTTAAATGCAAATTGGCTTCTAACTGACATTTTGCTTGTTCCAGATCTTACTGCTGATCCAGATGAGCTAACAAACATTGCCGTAAAATTCCCAGCAATGGTACGTTCCTTGGACAAAATACTCCGCTCTATAGTAAACTACCCGAAAGTTTCTTCTTCTGTTCAGGAGTATAACAAAAGACAGTTTATCAGCTGGAAGCAAAGTTTGGGTCACAATTACTCAAATGTTATTGCCAACCTTAGGTGGCATCAAGACTGGTTAAAGGAACCAAAAAAATATGAGAATGCAATTGACAAATGGCTTAGTCAAAGTAAGTAAATAAAAGCAGTCTCCATTTAAGATGACTGAGAATATGAAAACATTATTCATTTGTAATACAATGCTGGATTTCAAGTGTTAAAATTGTTTTCTTACATAAGCAAGTGAAGGCAACAATGCCTGAATAATTACCACTTTGTTTTAAAAAGCCAAGAGCATTTTATATGACGAGCCAGCACAACAAATCTAAATTTTTACATGGTATAATTCTGTAACACTTAATATACATGGGAAGGACAGTACATAAGTACTGATCATGCGTGTGTAATATTTAGCTGGTTGCAAATATGCAGAGTATGAAGCATTAGAACTCAACAGCAATTTCCATTTCTAAGGACAGACTGAGGCAAGGATTATTAAATGTAACGTAGTGGGATACCAGTTACAGTGAAATGTGCTGGAGCCAACATTCCATCAAGATGATTTTAAGTCCACAATGAAGACACGTTCATCCACCTTTAGAGAAGCTATGGCGGTTAAAATAGAATCAAAAAGTTAACAAGTAGTACTGGTCTGAATATAGATACAGTTTATTCAAGTACTTACTATGTCAGCATTCCTGTTTTATACATGATTACTCCATCTTTTCAAGATCTGCCTTTTGATCTCTTGCTTTTGGATCTGATAAGTCTTACCACTCCTTGCTGTTTAATAGTTGCATGAGCTACTAATTGAACAAGTGTGCAGGTGAAGAGGCATCTGGTCTCTGATCACTGGTGGAAATTTAAAACAAACAAAAAACCAGAAAACAACCCTCTGACCAAATATGTGAGTACAGCAGTTCTCTGAAAAGTGAGAGTGTGATTTGCATGGACTTAGATGAAAACTGCTTGAATAAATCTCCATTACACAGTTAGGTTCTTCAGGGAAATGTTTTAATGTGCATCAGTGAGTGGAGAACTGGAACCTGAAATGTACACAGGAGAGATGCAACTGAAGCTTGCAGGAAAAGTTAACATAATAAGACCAGTTCACATTTTTCCAGGGATGGGGAAAAAAAATTGCAGTTTTGGGAGAAGGGTAAGATTTACCTAGTAACTGTTCTGCTTAAGGGAAAACATAATTGTTGTAGCAGTGCTTAGGTTTGCTTATTCTTGATCAGAGTTTTTGCTGTTGTAGTAACAAATCAGAATGACATTATACTTCATACCTAAATGCTTTCTGAAATCTGTAATTAAATACTCAGCAGTAAGCTACCAAAAATAAACATGCAAAATATATGTATTTTCTGATACAGAGCGTTCCACATGCATTTCATAAACAACACTCTAGAACTGGGTACATATTTGTGAGTGTTTTAGCTATTTTATATTTCTGTGTTCATAGAACATGAAGGCTAACCTTATACTACTTACTGCTGTGGTAGCTTTTTTTTTTTGTAGGCAGGGAACAAATTAATAATACAAAAAAAATGCAAACACTAGCATTATAATTCTTAATTCTTGCTCAGCTGAGTTCAGAGAGTAATGAAATTATTTAAGAAAAAAACATTAGCAGGGTAATGTAAACCATCTGCATAAGTAAAGAAAATAAATACATCCATATGAAAGCTTGTTCAGGTGGGAAAAGGATGGAAAAATGGATAACTTTCTAGAGATCTAGACAGAATGCAGTACCTCATACAGAATATATTAAAATAAAAATATAGTAAACTGGATGTGGTATGTGTGTGTGCTTTTTTAATGGATGAACGTTTAAAGAAATTACTAGGGAAAATTGTATTTTGTCAGTGCCGTGGACAGCTACTTCTTTTACAGATACAAGCTTTTAAGATGAACTTCTTCATAAGTGTTAGGCTTACAAAAGTGCAGTTTGCAAAATGGAAAAACAACTTGGAAGAACAAACTTTTTACTGTAATTCCTTGAAACAACTTCTTGTATCCCAGGGTTTTCAGAGGAGCCCAGTGCACAGGGGCGGGTTTGCAGATAATGCAGAAAACTTGTGGAATGTGCCGGCTCACAAAGTAGAGCTACAGCATCAGGAGGCAGGGATGCTCCATCGCAAGGTGATTCTGTGGCATCTGAGCCAACTGATAGCAGGTTGTGATCTGATCTGAAGTTGGTACGTCTACTCTGGTGCTTCTTTTTGTATCCTGTAGTCTTAAAATGCTTATTTAAATGGAAGACGCCGACTTGTTTGTTAAAAGCAAAACTTTGACATTTGCAAGTGTCCTGGGTTCAGCTGTAGCAGTCATTTTTCTCCTCTTAGTAGCTGGTGCTTTGACTTTCAGCCTGGGAACAATGCTGATAATACTGATGTTTTTAGTTGTTGCTAAGTAATGTTTACTCCAACCAAGGACTTTCTGAGTCTCATGCTCTGCCAGGGAGGAGGGGAAGCCAGGAGGAAGCAGACACAGGACACCTAACCCAAACTGGCCAAAGGGGTATTCCATACCACAGCACATCATGCTCAATATATAAACTGGGGGGAGTCACCTGGAAGGCCCAGATCACTGTTCAGGTGGGGCTGCGTATCGGTTGGCGGGTGGTGAGCAACTGTATCCTGTCGCCTTGTTATTTCCCTTATCACTGTTATTATTAGTGGTAGCAGTAGTGGTTTTGTTTTATACCTTAGTTACTGGACTCTTCTTATCTCAACCCGTGGGAGCTACATTATTTCGATTCTCCTCCCTATCCCTCTGGGAGCAGTGGGAGGAAGAAGAGGGGGAGTGATCGAGCAGTTGCGTGGTTCTGAGTTACCGGCTGGGCTTAAGCAATGACAGCAAGTTACTTATTATTTGTGTGTGAACCTTTGTTCTGAAAAGCTAGAGAGAAGGCAAAATCCCCCTAATGCCTTCCTGACTCTGTTGGAATAGAACTGGAATCCTACCTGTGTTGGAATAGAACTCGGCTAATTTAAATACTGAAGTAGATACATTTAACAATGCGGTCATAATCAGTTACTTTGATTTAGTTATGTGAATGCATCTGCATTATTGCAACACAAATCAGTTGAGGCTTGCAGCATGCAGGGTTGGTTGGCTAACAGGAAGAAACTTGTTTTCAAACATGCTAAAGGAACTATGTAGTATTAACACTAGAGACGCTTTTGAGCGAAAAGAATGAGGGGGCAGGCTGGGTTGCCAGCAGGTTCAAAACGGGTATTTGGGAGATGTAGCCAGGTCAACACAGCCTCTTGGGATTTGTCTGAAAACACCAAGGGCATTGGCCTGATCAGCCTCTGCAGCTCTCTTTCAAGTGCTTACAAAGGCAGGAGAGGAGGC